AACCGGGCCTTATCTATTGAGGACGGATTTTGGAAGCAAAAGGCCGATTCACGCTGGGTATGTGAGGGGGATCACAATACCCTTTACTTTCATGCGATGGTTCAGGGACGTTGGACCAGATCTCGTATCAGGAGTATCAGGACTCAGGCAGGAGAAGTTTTATCTTCTACTGTGGACATTCGGAGTTCGGCTATATCTTTTTCCAGGATTTATTATCTGTTCCTTCACAGCCTTTGGATCCCATCCGCCCAGACATCATACCCAGGTTGGTTACGGAGACAGATAATATGGCACTTAACTGTCTCCCTATGATTCATGAGGTACGGGAGGCGGTCTTAGTATTGATGCTGACCGTGTCGCGGGCCCAGATGGATTCTCATCTTTGTTCTTCCAGCATTGTTGGGATATCATAAATGAAGATTTCTATAGTGCGGTCGTTGATTTCTTTGAAGGTGGACATTTGCCTCGTGGTTTCATCATTACCTCTTTTTTTTGTTCCCAAAGAGGGAAAATGCATGTCGATGGACAGATTTCAGACCTACCTTTGTACGGTGTTTAATAAGCTTATCACTAAGCTGTTGAACACCAGATTGAGTTTTCTGCTGCCTCGTATTATCTCTCCTCAGCAGAGTGGTTTTATCCTTGGTCGCCTTATACGGGATAATGTGTTATTGACTCAAGAGCTCATCTACACTTTGGATTATTTCAAATGATATTATTCTGAGTTGACTTTGACGAATATTTGATCATGATACGTCTTTAGCTTGATATTTAAAGTAAATGGCATGGTGTCATATACCATTATCACTCATACTCATAACCTGCATGATTTTGTTTATTGAGCCTTGGCTTATGTAGTTCTTGGATTATAGGTGAGCATCTAACCTTCTAGGAGACATAGCTGGCTGTGGAGCTTTTACGAGATTCCGAAATTTGATGTACATGGATGACGACTTGTAGGGTTATTTTGTGGACTCCAGTTGTATTATATGTTAGGGATCCTGTATGACTTTTGAAATATCATGTAAATATTTTTACAACCTCAGGATAAATATGTGGACTATGGTCTTATGATCCTTATTTTCGGATATATTTTTGGAAATGCTTTCATCTTTCGATAGAGATACGATTTTCCATATATACAGAGAGAAAAACCAGGTTGCTAATTCTCTTGCTTCAAAAGGTTAGGATCACCAATATTATTAGGAGTATGGATCACCCGAACTACCCCGACATATTAGGGCAGTAGTGTAGATTGATAGGCATTGATTGCCCAGCTTTAGAGGATTATAGTTTAGGTTTCATTTGCTGCTTTCATTTTATTGGACAGGGAAGTAATACTTCCTTTTTTATTCCATTACATTTGTTCTTTTTCATCTATTTTCATTGTAAGGGAAGTAGTGCTTCTCCGTTTATTACTTTCTTTTCTCATGTAAGCACGGTATTCCTCCGCCATAAGTGAGGAAATATTAATAAAACCTCGAAGATACTGTCCTCCTTTAAAAAAATCCTAAACCCTTAAACCCTAACCCCTAACCCCTAACCCTAAAACCCTAAACATGCGATCTGTCTGAAAATGCCCAGAGTCGTCCATTGTCCTCCGCCCTTGGTGATGTAGTGAATAGCCAACGTTGAATCTACCTAAACCCAAATAGCTAATATCATAAGTCCTCTAGCCAATAGAATTCCATCTAGTATAGCTTTAAGCTTGGCAGCCAAAATGAGACATGTACCATACGATGTTGAGAATGCCCTAATGTTGTGTCATGTGTGATCCCTAATGATGTCTTCACCACTCGCAAATCCCTCTTTGACGCATCCATCTGTGTTGATCTTATAAGATCCCACTGGTGAAATGTACCAACAACCGTAAAAAGTGGTGGTAGATGAGGGAGAGACATAGAAATACCTTATAGGGGTGCAAGTGTGACATCCCTTAACCTGTGCATAGCTCGAAATAATCCTCTGATATAAAGAAAAGATATCATGCGGTAGACCCTCCAAATGATTTGTCTGGCCACCATATGAATCCCCATATGCTTTGCGTCATATGAATCCCCATCCAAATGATTGGATGGTCTAGATTATACTTTTTAAAGCATGAGGGTTAATAGAAGAAAAATTTATGTCCAACAAGGATCTGAAATAACCAAATTTGTGCACTAAACTTAGCATGGTCTAACAAAGAGTTGAAGTATTGTCAATTACTGATCAATAATTGTGTCTTTTATCTTTTATCTCCAGAGTTGGAAATGTTGTGTTTAATTAGATTCTAACTTAGAATTGTATGATGTTTATAATTAATTGTGTATAATTTCCCTCAGTCCCTCACAGCGAATAAATAATTGGTATTGCTTAGGATGGGAAGGAAAAATTATCATTAACAAGGGAAGTCCATGGCTATAGTCAATAGGCTAAAATTTAAACGAAGTTGTGAGGTAGATGTTTTTACCTTGAAATGCTGCTTGACGAGTGGAGAATCATGTGTTAGCTTCTCATTGACTCATTCATCAACCTTATTGTTCCCTTGAAATTGACTCTAAATTGAATGGAAGATCATCAATTACTACAGCCATTGCACGATTGTAGTAGCATCAGGTGTTTGTCAAATCATAGTCGAAAGACTCGAAACTCATGCCTTTTCTTTCAATGAAAAAATTGCACCTTTTTTTTTTTTCACTATGCTTCCTAAAGTGCATAAGGATTTTACTGGTGTTGCTGATGCTTTGCACTCCATCTCTACCTTTGACCGGTTTCAGTTCGCCCTCTCACCGTTACATGTGCCAATTTTTTTGTAATGTTATTTTGGATTTGTTTTGAATTTTTTTTTTACTATAATGTTTCATACATAATGGATGAATATCACATTGCTTTCCTGATTGACGTGTAAGATACTAAAATTCTTTGAGCTTTAAAGTAAGTTGGGAATGTGATAGTGACATAGTAATTTTGGTTGTTTATAGTTGTTGAAATTAGTTAATATATGCTACAATATCACCACCAACAACTATGGTTCTATCTGTTGCAGCTTCTGTGCAGCAAAATTCCTCGATTGATGCCATCTGAAGCTGGGGAAGAGGCCCACCAGCTATCCTATCTATGGAAGCACCTAGGCAATATTGTATCCTGTTTGGCAGACTCTGTAGAAGGGGAAATGGAAAACTCCATGCTATCTAAATTTTCTTTTGATTTTACCATTATTTTACCTTCTATAGTATTATCTTGCATTTGTTATGATAGAATTAGTTATATTTCATTTTGAAAATGGGAAGCACCAAAAGAAGAAGGCAAAGGAGGCAAAGAAATAGGGCATAAAGAAGAAACCTAAGGTAGAGAAGGACCCCCGAAATCCCCAATCATGTGCCCTTCAAGGTACGTGAACTCAAGGCCCTCGAGGCTCGCCGTTTACAAGCCATCGAGGAGGAGGATGCGAAGAAAGTCGCTAAAAAGGAGAAGGTAAATGAATATCATCATAATTTGTTTGAGAAATTTGGTGGGTTATTTAATTGTAATAATTAGTTGTTGATAGATTTTTATTTTTTGTAGTTGCCTATCGTTTATGTAAGAAATTTACTAATCAAACTTTTCCATCTAGGTTTTGGAGCATCCTAAGAAAAAATAGAGGCATGCTCCTCAGTGAGGTATTTTTGAGGAATACAATTTAAGTATTTAGTTTTTTCACCCTTCCCGGCACTATCATTTTACTGTATATCATTATGTATTACCTCTTAAGTGGGGTATTAATTTCACAAACTATGAAAGAAGTCTGTGTTGCTTTGTAGGTTGAGTTAACTATATTGATTGAAACGACATGAACGTTGAGAGGAGGCATGTGCTTGGCATTGACTGAAAATGCTCCTACTAGAGATGCATTGGTCACTGCTTTAGTATTAATCATCCTCATAAGTAAGCTGTCAGCAATTGAGGTAACTAGAATTTCCTTGAGCTGTTCTTACATAAGGGAAATAGTAAATGAAACTAAATATTCATTATTTGAATATTATCCTTGGGACATTTAACTAATTATTATATCAATTTGTACAAGAATTATGTGAAAACTTACTGAAGTTTCAAAATAGTTTTACCTTCCCTTAAATATTAGACACTAACATTACATCAAACAATATTATCGCCAGTGCATTGCACGAGCTAAAACTAGTATTACTCAAAAGTTTGAAAACTCATGTAGGGGAACCCATATAAATTAATCTCATCTAACCTGATGACATATCTCCCAACTATCACATAAATTAATAATTTCATAAAAGTACAAAATATATTACAAAATATTTAAGAACTAGAAAGTACAACAAGTTGCAAATTCGCATGTCACCATGTTTAAACTACAATCAATGTACATTTTAGGAATTATATACATGCAAAACATTAATCACGTTTGTTTACCAAATACTCCAATATTGATTTCGAAACAAACATTTAGAGCCCGTTTGAGATCCTTTTTTGTTCAAAATGCATTTTGAAATAGTATTTTAATGGAAAATGTGTGATTGTAAAATAAGAGAAAGTTTTATGTTTCTTGTAATATTATTGTATTAAAGAATGTGTTAATAAATATGTATATTGGAAATAATGGAAATCAGAACTTACACCTCCAAGCTTACTATCCAACTATAGGTGTTGTAGAATCTGAGGGAGTTTAAACTCATTTGGTAAGGCCGTGTTAATTTACAAATAAAACCTATAAATTAATACCAAAGGTTGAATTTTCTCATGGAGCATATTTTTTTCAAGAAAAGAGAAAATAAAAGAAAATGAAAAAGAAAGAGCACCTATTGGGAATTTTTTGGGAACAAAAGAGTGATGCTTTCTAAAATTCTCATGTATTAATTGCTGCGTGGCCCCTGCCAGCCAAATAGAAATTTGGAAACCAGTTTCCAGTTAACAATAATCCGCCGATTGGATTCGGTTAGAATTAGAATAATTGAGGTTGGGGGCCTTGGGGCTGTAGATTCCACCATCAAAATAGCGAAAGAGAAAATATGGTATCGACCGATGGATTGATGCCCATAACGAGGGCATTTCTTTCTTCTTACTACGATAAGTATCAGTTTCCTCCTCTCTCCGATGACGTTTCCCGTCTCTCCGATCAGATTCGTGCCATGTCTGCCGATCTACTGCACGATTCTCCCGCTACAGAAGGTTTTCATCCTTTCTGTTTTCCTTTTTTCCTTTTACTGGGATTTTCTTTTGGATCGGCCTTTCATAGTTCGTTTTATGTCTCGTGGAGTTTGATATCTATTATCCCTTTTGGAGGACAGTAGGCATCCTCTTGGCTTTCATGTATTTTTAAGATTATTTCTATTTTCTTGCGTATGCTTTGTGTAATTAATCTTGAGATTTTTTTCCTGGAGTAAAAAAGATTGATCTTGTCTTGATTGAACCGTGAATTTCTGGCCTACTTAATTTATATTCAATACCTTGTCAGGAGAAATCTTATTGGTACAAGAAGCTGACCGCCAGCCTCCCCACAAAATTGACGAGAACATGTGGAGGAATCGAGAACAAATTGAAGAAATCATTTACCTATTGGAAGTCTCTCATAGGTCCATCGTGGTGAGAGATACAATGGTTTGATATCTATCAAAAGCAATGATAAAAATGCAATTAGTGTGGACCACTTTAAATTAGGCCACTTTTTGGTTTAGATAAAAATCATATTTTTTTAACTAGATTTTGGTAAAAGTTGATGGAATGTGTGGTTAAAAGTGACGACTCCCATGAAATGTGCGATTAAAATTGACTTATAATTTAATAAACTTTTTTAGCTAAACCAAATGGGGGCCAAATGTTATATCATTTTTATGATTAGTAACTATATCTTTCTTACCAAAGAATATTAAAGCGCCTTAAGGTTCTTTTCTTTAACTGACGGTGGATCAAATTTTGTGTTTATTAACTGAACACAGCTTCATCAACAATCAACACTTGAAGATACTGAACTTCCTTCTGTTCTTGGGCCTCTTGAAGGGAAATTTAAATCTACATTGAAGACTTTGGAATATTTCCAAGCCAAGAATTCTGAGCATGTATTCAACACAGGTCGGTTTTTGAACATTCTATGGATTTTCCAGGAGATCAGATTAGGAAGTTTTTTTTCTATTAGCCAACGCTAGTAGCCCTCATATAATATATTTTGCTTCTTGATTCTCTAATTGTTTTGGCATTAAAATCGTTGTAAACTACTGTATTAAAAAACTTAGTTTTATGACTTGTAATTCATGTATTCACCTAGGATTATTTGCTTATATGAGAATAGCATATATTTGGTTAATCTGGATTAGAGGTCCTTTTTGATTGCACAAAAACAGTGCCTGCCTTGACAAGTAACGTTTCAGAAGAACCTTGCAACGTGTTTTCTGTGTAGGACATTGGGAGGATAGCTTTCTGTAGAAGTTCAGTTTTGTTTTGTGAAATAACTAAAAATGTTGTAAAGGTCTTTCAAACACATATTTTCCCTTGTAGAGCTGGAAACAAATAAATGATTCTACTCCCTTCATCTGATATTGAACGTTTTAAGAAGGCATTGGAAAAAGGAGCATTTTGATATAGTTCCTTCCATTTACCTTCAAAGCTAGTGGCCAAGAATTGTTGCAGGGACGGAGGCTCAATGGTGGCCTGACATGTACCTCTAAAAGATTTCTGTAAATTCAAGTTAGCCCCTCAAGATTTCTAAAAATTCCAATTATTATGTGTAATCAAGTCCCACACAATCTCTAGACTTTTCCTCTCTACCCATTGCTCTTTATGGTAAATACCCAACTTCTGGACCCCGTTTAATGATATGGCTTTCTGCTTTCCCTTTCTACTTTCAGAAAAAAGATGTTCTCTTCATTTTCAGTGATCTATAAATAGAATGAAATAAAGTAAGAAGCGTGTAGATTAATTGGAAATCTGCATAAAACTTGAAGCAATTTCATTTTTTTTTTTTTAATAAGTAATCGAAGAATATATTAAAAACAATAGATAATACATGGAAAATGTATTATCAGTTTAAACAGTACAGAAACAACATGAAATTAGGCAACCCTTCAATATGATTATTAGTCACAGTACTAAACCAACTATACAAAGTCAGATAGAACAATTCTCTGAACTGCTCTGTAGTTCTTGCTTAGTCTTCAAAACAGCGGCTGTTCCTTTCTCTCCATACGCACCGTACTATGCATCCCGGAATAAACCTCACTGAATATTTTTTCACCCAATCAACCTAAGATTAGGCTAGATCACCTAATAATTCCATTCCTATATCTAAAAGATCCAGTAAAGAAATCAGATATTGTTGGCAAGAAGGACGAGTTTCGAGTACTTATAATGATAATTTCTTTTTAAATGACAATTTCCTACATGACTTCTTTAGATTGTTATTGACACGATATGCAATTAGCATGTGAGGGTTTAATGCAAACAGATTCATGTCATTATATCAGCCAATTGTTCCACCCTCTTGATGTATGGAACCTCTATATTTTTGGAGTCGAGATTATTTTTGACATAGTTACCATCAAGTTCAACATGTTTTGTTCTATCATGTTGCACAGGGTTGTTTGCAATTTTAATGGCAGTAGTGTCGTCACAGAAAAGTAACATAGGCTTGCCTGGACCGAAGCCGAGTTCACTAAGGAGAAGTTTTAGCCATGTAAGCTCGGTAGTTGCATGATGTAATGCTCAGTATTCCTCAGCACTGGATAGTGAGACCACATTCTGTTTCTTACTGCTCCAAGTAACAAGATTGCCCCCAACAAACAATACATACCCTGATGTGGATTTTTCGTCCAGTATTGATCCAGCAAAATCAGAATCCGTGTAACCCACAATATCTAAATGCCCCTTTTTTAGTATAGAATGCCCTTGCCTGGAGAGGACTTCAGATATGTCAATATCCGATTAACTGCACTCATATGTTGCTCACTGGTGTTATGCATGAATTGGCTCACAACGCTAACTGCATATGACAAATATGGTTTGTGTGGGTTAGATAAATGAACTTCCCCACCAGTCTCTGGTATCTCTCTTTGTTTGTGGGAATCTGATCGGGGTAAATAATAGGCCATGGTTTACCTCAATAGGTGTGTCAACAGGGACACAAGCCAACATACCAATTTCTGCTAGAAGGTCAAGGATGTACTTGCATTGAGCTAGGATAAGTCCTTGTTGGGACCGTGATACCTCAATCCCTAAGAAACACTTCAAAGTACCGAAGTCCTTCATTTCGAATTCATTTGTCAAATGGCTTCGGAGTTTCTCAATCTCACTGGGATTACTGCTAGTAACAATCATATCATCCACATACACAATAAGCATAGTAGTATTGTGACCATCTCTCTTATAAAGTATAATCAGCCAAGGCTTATTTAAAACATACTTTTTCATTAAATAACTCAATCTTCCAAACCACGCTGTTGGTAATTTTTTCAGCCCATAAATAGCTTTCTTCATCTTACACATTACCCACTGGAGGAATGAAATCGGGAGGGGGGTCCATATACACTTCTTCTGTCACATCACCGTGAATGAATGCATTTTTAACGTCAAATTGCCTCAATGGCCAATCAAAATTGACCGCTAGAGATAGGATGACTCTGACGGTATTCATCTTAGCTACTGGAGCAAAAGTTTCTTGGTATTCAATCTCATAAGTCTGTGTGTACCCTTTGGCAACCAATCTAGCTTTATACCTATCGACGATTCCATCTGACCTGTATTTTAATGAGTACACTCACTTGCATCCCACAGTCTTTTTCCCTTGTGGTAATAAGACCATCTCCCAAGTAGAGTTCTTTTGGAGAGCATTCATTTCTTCTACCATAGCGGATTTCCACTTTGGTTGATCAAGAGCTTCCTGAAAATGATTAGGGATAGACACAGAAGATAGTTGGAGGGCAAATGTCAAATCAGTCTTAAATAAGCGGTGGTAAGAGATATAGTCAGAGATGGGAAAGATAGCATTGAAAGAAGATTTCGAAAAACCAAACATATCAGGCTTATTATGGACTCGAGGAGGATATCTCTTATCCTGAGTATCAACAATATCTAAAGTTGCAGGATTAGAATCAGAAACAGAGATAGGAGTAGAAGAGGGAAGCGGGGCAGGTACCTCATTTTCAATCTTCGAAGAATCAGATGGCACTGTAATATCAACCGAAGGGTTATTAGGTTCTGAACAAGATAATACACGAGCGTAAGCATTGTTTGAATTTCTCCTAGTATAACACTTTTGGAACAAACGAGGTGATCTATCATCCTCAACTCAATATTCAACTTGGGATGCTCCCTCCTTTCCAGAAATCCACACTTTCTTTTCATCTAACCACGCTTGTTCATCTTCCTTACTACTAACCTCCCCCTGAAGAGGAACTAACGACACGTCATCAGAAAAAATGATTCTGATTTGCGAAATTCCACATCCATAGAAATATAATATTTTCCCGTAGGGGGATGGAAGCATTTGTAGCCCTTCTGGGAGCTTGAGTAGTCGAGGAAGACACATTTCAGGGCACGATGATCAAATTTATTTTTGAGATGAGAATGCATATGGACATAACAC